TGTGCGTGTGTGCGTGTGTGTGTGTGTGTGTGTGTTGTGTGTTGTGTGCGTGTGTGTGTGTGTGTGTGTGTGTGTGTGAGTGTGTTTGGTCAACATTCTTTTTTTCAGGAACAATCCACACAAAACTGTGTCTATAAATGGGCGTAAATTATGGTGTTGAGGAAAAAAAACCCCCACCAAACAAACCCCGAAACAAACTCCAAACTGGTGAGAAAAAAAAATTGTCGGTCGGTATTTTATATTTTATCTTTTTGATGAGCGCCGCATTTCACCCCGATGCCATATACAAGGCGTTATTGAGACGGGTAATGGATCAACGTTAAAATCCTTTATCCTTGCCTTGTTCATCCCTTTACATTCCAGGCAATCTCATAAAACGTAGACCAACTTATTGCAATTCGGCATAAAATCTCTGTTTACGTTTTAAAACTTATGCGTTTCGAATGTTAATTTTTTAAAAACTTTTAGCAATTCAGTCGAGAAATCCGACGGGGAATCTCTACATATCATATTTGTGAAAGTTCGTCTCTTTGGCCGCCTAAAACTTCCAACCACTTAACTTTCGATTTTGACAAAATAATGGTGGTTCAGAATCATTTAAAGGGTGCACAGTTTCATTGAGGAGCCTGAAACAAGTGGGGTTTCTTTTCGCTAGCCGTGTGCACTATTTCCACATCTTTGAAAGTATTGAGTGTTCAACCACGAAAGCAGAATAGAGCACCAATCTATACGTCTATTATATATTTGGCAACTTGGAAACACATGTGTCACTTTTCTCTCAATATTTATTGCTCTATTCCAGTAGAGTGTAAATATAGTAGGCCACTGACTTTCAGTTGATGTTAATGCACCGACCATTCCTTTCATCGAAAGAGGACCCAGCTAGTTTCTTATAATAAAGTAGGACAGGAAAGGCTAGACGCTCGACTACAAAGCTGGCGACAAGGATCGAAGCCAAGCGAGCTAACTATATATTATTGTGTTTCTGTATACATTTATTATACAGATCAATACTTATGTCCTGTGTGTGTGTGCGCGTGTGTGTACGTGTATGTGTGTGTGTGTGTGTGTGTATGTGTGTGTGTGTGTG